CACCCCAGAAGTGACTCGAACCCATACTGCCAGGAGCAACGCAACTGGTATGTACAGGGACGCCTTAATCCGCTTGACCATCACGACCAGACATAAGGAAGTGATAGCCGAGGCTATTTGACCCACTTCCCCGCTGGCACTCGGATGGTAATCTTGGGCATAGCATTTTATCAAATCACCTCATTTTTTTGGGGCAACACGTGAGGAACACAAATGCGAACAAGCCTGAATGGTCCCCAGGACAATATGCAACTGAAAACTCACACCCCAGAAGTGACTCGAACCCATACTGCCAGGAGCAACGCAACTGGTATGTACAGGGACGCCTTAATCCGCTTGACCATCACGACCAGACATAAGGAAGTGATAGCCGAGGCTATTTGACCCACTTCCCCGCTGGCACTCGGATGGTAATCTTGGGCATAGCATTTTATCAAATCACCTCATTTTTTTGGGGCAACACGTGAGGAACACAAATGCGAACAAGCCTGAATGGTCCCCAGGACAATATGCAACTGAAAACTCACACCCCAGAAGTGACTCGAACCCATACTGCCAGGAGCAACGCAACTGGTATGTACAGGGACGCCTTAATCCGCTTGACCATCACGACCAGACATAAGGAAGTGATAGCCGAGGCTATTTGACCCACTTCCCCGCTGGCACTCGGATGGTAATCTTGGGCATAGCATTTTATCAAATCACCTCATTTTTTTGGGGCAACACGTGAGGAACACAAATGCGAACAAGCCTGAATGGTCCCCAGGACAATATGCAACTGAAAACTCACACCCCAGAAGTGACTCGAACCAAGATTACCATCCGAGTGCCAGCGGGGAAGTGGGTCAAATAGCCTCGGCTATCACTTCCTTATGTCTGGTCGTGATGGTCAAGCGGATTAAGGCGTCCCTGTACATACCAGTTGCGTTGCTCCTGGCAGTATGGGTTCGAGTCACTTCTGGGGTGTGAGTTTTCAGTTGCATATTGTCCTGGGGACCATTCAGGCTTGTTCGCATTTGTGTTCCTCACGTGTTGCCCCAAAAAAATGAGGTGATTTGATAAAATGCTATGCCCAAGATTACCATCCGAGTGCCAGCGGGGAAGTGGGTCAAATAGCCTCGGCTATCACTTCCTTATGTCTGGTCGTGATGGTCAAGCGGATTAAGGCGTCCCTGTACATACCAGTTGCGTTGCTCCTGGCAGTATGGGTTCGAGTCACTTCTGGGGTGTGAGTTTTCAGTTGCATATTGTCCTGGGGACCATTCAGGCTTGTTCGCATTTGTGTTCCTCACGTGTTGCCCCAAAAAAATGAGGTGATTTGATAAAATGCTATGCCCAAGATTACCATCCGAGTGCCAGCGGGGAAGTGGGTCAAATAGCCTCGGCTATCACTTCCTTATGTCTGGTCGTGATGGTCAAGCGGATTAAGGCGTCCCTGTACATACCAGTTGCGTTGCTCCTGGCAGTATGGGTTCGAGTCACTTCTGGGGTGTGAGTTTTCAGTTGCATATTGTCCTGGGGACCATTCAGGCTTGTTCGCATATATATATATATATATATATATATAAATACACACACACACAGACCCAGCCAAGTCCGGACCTAAGAGGGAACCAGATGGGACTTCTGCCAGTTCACTAGGAACCCAAACCCGGTGAGCTGGGAAAGAACCACATCTCTGGCGAGCAGACACGCGGACTGGCTGGGAGCCCAGACCAGCCAGTCGTTAAGGTAGGCCAGCACCTGAAGGCCTAAGAGACACTGGTGGTGGCCGGCCGGCCGAGCGGACAGCATGCTGGACACGTGATCCTGTGGTCCCGGGTTCGATCCCAGGCGCCGGCGAGAAATGATGGGCAGAGTTTCTTTCACCCTATGCCACTGTTACCTAGCAGTAAATTGGTACCTGGGAGTTAGTTAGCTGTCACGGGCTGCTTCCTGGGGGTGGAGGCCTGGTCGAGGACCGGGCTGCGGGGACACTAAAGCCCCGAAATCAACTCAAGATAACACAGACAGACCACCACAACCCGGGTTAAGGGGTGTGAACATGCAAGGTGCTAGGTTCAACCCGAATGGGAAACTACTGAAAGCGGTAACCCCGACGCCCCACAACAAAACCGAGTCAATCCTTGAACTCCGAATGAATCGGAACGTGCCAATATGTGTTTGTGCCAACATGTGCCTCTGGACCTCTCTGGAGGTCCAGAGACACCATCCAAGCACCCGGCTCCAACAAAAGCCAGACCTGGGATAGAGTAGTCATCTGACAAGAGGGGGGCAATAGACCCATGGGTTCAAACGGGACAAGTCCAGAATAAATTGCACAGTCTCGTTTCGGGACTGGAAACAGACGGGAAACCCATCTGAGGGACGCCATCGTTTTGACCACGCCCAAGCGTATCCACTCTGAGATGACCTGACAGAGCGCAAGACCCATCAGCCCTGAACCCTCCAACAGAGGAGGGGCCAATCAATGCCACTGCAGGCCATCAGAAATGTCCCGAAAAGCCTACAAATTGTGAGACCAAGCATGAGCGAACAGCCGATGCCTCTTATGAGAAACCGACTTACGCACAGAGCAATCACTGCACCAACCAAAGGAAGACGGGTCCGAAGGCAGCGCTGGCCCAGAAACTGGCCCCAGCGGCCTACCACAACAAGTGAAATCTAGAGTCCAGGCACGACCCTTCCGGGAGGAACCCCCCCGGACCCCCAAAGAACCAACAAGTCTGACATCGGACGACAACTAGAAGAGGCTGCCTGCAGAAACTGCCCAACCGCAGACTCTGCAAACAGCAAGGGACAAAAAAGGTGATGAAACTTAAAGAGCCAGGGCTCTAGTAGATTCCAACGAGGAAGCGAGTACCACCTGCCGACACGCGAGATGTAAGGCAAAAAACTGCGACACCGCATCTTGCAGGTTCAGGGCAAACAGCTTCAACAGCACAAATGATGAATGTGCTGCGAGACCAAGGCACCAGCCCCAGGAATGGCCCCAAGCGCTTCCACATCCTCCTCAAGCCAAACCGAAGACAACTCCGAAAGGGAACAGACGCGCATGACCAAAGCCAACAGGCCACGAGCACTCAAGTCCTCAGCAACCAATGCAGCCAATAGGGAGGGGAACCTGCATGTGAAGCTGAACCATGCCAACATCCCGCTAAAGGGCAGGGGCGAACAAACATGCATTGAGGTGTTCGATTTCGCCCTCCAGGTAAACGTAGACCATCGTCAACACCTTGCACCCCTCAAGTGTGCAGGTACGACAGAAAGAACTCCAACCAGACAGAGAACTTACGGAGTGCCAAGCATCCAACGACAACACAGGTCAGTCCGCTAGCCAGGACGACTCCAGAACCTCATAACGATGCCAGTATGGAGACGAAGACCCAAACCTGAAGGAAGATGGATCCATTATAGAGGCATAATCTGGGTCGCACAGGAGGTAAGCCACAATGGCCGCCCATACCTCAGTAGGCACGACGTGGGAAGCCAAAAACCTCCGGAAGAATGGAACTGATGAACCCGAAGGGACACGGAACCGAACCCGGGGAGTGGCTGACACCAAATCCAACTCGTACGCAGAGGGAGGGAAAGAAAACCCCACTCCTTGTAACAGTAAGCCCTGCTCAGAGGATAGAAAAACCCAGGTGGGGTCCAATGGGGCCCAAGGCCCCAAAGTCAGCACCTCTCCAGCCCAGGGAACCTCCACACCAGGACCCAGGGAACCTCCACACCAGGACCCAGGGAACCTCCACACCAGGACCCAGGGAACCTCCACACCAGGACCCAGGGAACCTCCACACCAGGACCCAGGGCAGAGTCATTCTCCAAAGCCCCTGCATCACAAGACAAAGCCAGGGCAGCCAGAAAGGCAGGAAAGGAGGGGGGCCACTGGCCAGACCCTGTTGCCATGACTGGAGGAACCGACTCGAATGCCTCTGTTGCCCCCCCCCCCCCACGCCCCAGAAGGGGCAACCCCCGAAACTGCTCGAGTCTCAGAACCTTCTAAACCCTGCCCCGACACCAAAGCCCTCAGATGCTTTGCAGCAGGAAGCAGGGAGGGGAGGGGAAGACCAGAATGAACCACAGCAGGGGGAAGAATGAGGGGGTGCAGACTGAACCAAGGTGGAAGCGACCAACACCCTTAAGTCCAGGTCCCTATAAACAAAACAGGGCAGTCTCCGGGCTTCCGGGGTAGCAATCAACCTAGCGCATTGCAGCAACCTAAATCTAGCATGCAATGCCTGAGCCACCTGCAACTGGATGAAGTCAACAGTGAACTGGGTGAAGTGTGTCACAAACAAGCAACAATTCTCGCAAGACTCTGGGTCGATGGTGTCACCAACCCAGCAGGCAGCATGATGGAGGCAAAAACAGTGAAAATCACTCTGAGACAAGGGGACAGAGCAACTCTCTAACTCACACAAGGCGAGAGGGGACCCAGGGGTAGCATCCATCAGACCCTTTGCATTCCCCTGTGGGGTTCCCAAGGCCCAGGTTTCCCAGGGTTTGTTTTGGGATGCTTACCTTTTTGGGTGCCTGATCCAGTCGATGGCAGACATAGAATGCTCCAAATCACATGTGCATTTCTATAGGCCACTGTTCCTCATGCCTCTTTGAGGTGGCCAGGTTCTGGCTCATGGTTCCCGGTTTGAATTGAACACATATCATCTCAGCCTCATGCCTCAACTTTCAACTCCTCTCTCAATTTATGCCACTATACTCATTGAGTTATTATTCCAAAACATATTGAACTGTACATTATTAATGGCATAAATTGTGCACAATATTCTACTGTACTGTATTTTGTTTACAATATTTAGTGGAAATGTATTGTGATGAACTTTTGAATATAAAATCCATATCTGTTGGATATGGAAGGATATGCTTGTCTATTTAATCAATTTGCCTTGAATGACAGCATTTGGTCTTAAGCTGATCAGACTGTGATGACCACTCAAGCACAGAGAAGCAAAATCTTAAAAATAAACAATTCTTACACGTAAGATGCTCCAAGATCTTTTGAGAAGGGCATCAAGGATTTAACGTCATATATTAAGACACTCCCTGCCTTAAATGATCGTCCTGCTTCCTCCTCATTTTTCCCACGTTTACTCTTGACTTTCTGAAAAGTTTGAAGAATTAGACTAGCAATTAAAATTCTGTGAATATTTAAGTCATAAAATTTAATTTGCCAGACTAACCAGAGACCACACTATTGGTTTTGTTTACTGCAGCTCTGGAGTGGAATCTTGTGAAGCCTGAAAGAAGTTATGGGGGCCTAAAATATATCGAAGTTGAGTAAATTTATTATACATTATACTGTTCATATCAAAGTAATGAAATAAACAAACAAGTGATAGTTATGTGAATTAAAAACTGTTTTTCTTTGGAAAAAAAATCAGCTTTGAATGTAATGAAATGCCATTTTCTGGGTGAGCCCCAGAGGCTCCCCAGAGCTTACCAGCTGATATGTATGTATTAGACCGTGACATCAATCGATTGGAGTACTTTTGCCTAACGGGGACCACAAGCCAGAACCTGGCCCCCCTTAGAAAGGCTAGGGAAGCAACGGCCTATGGAAATCCCCAGGTGTTTGGAAGCATTCCATGTCCGCTATCGACTGGGGTTGGCACCCAGAAAGGTAGGCATAACAAAACAAGCCTCACATGGTAAAAATTGCAACCTTAAAGGTGAACAGGGAGGCAGAACTCCCAAACTAAAACAACCAAACAAGCAAATGTCACTAACACCGCCGCGTCAATCATCCACACAGTCCTCCACCCCCAGAAGGGGGCAGGGGGTCCCAGACCCCTCACACTAGCCACTCCAGCTATCAGTTCAGAGGTTGAGCATCAAGAAACGCAAAAACCCTCGACCAAAGGGTGAAAGGGTGCCGGGCAGCCTCCGGGGTTCATTCAGAAAAAGATGCTTCATTACATTCAACACTGGTATTCTGTGGGGAGCCCCTACGGCTCCCCGGAGCTAACTAACCAAAGAAAAGAAAAAGAGGGAATGATTCGGGAGGAGGCTTCCACTCGCATCTCTACTCACAGTCGAGACAACTGGCTGCAGCCTGTGACTGAAAGCGACACACGCCCCACTAGGGCCAGGAACACTGACCTAGTAACGGGCAGCCAGGACTCTGTTCGACCTCCAAAATCCCTGTGCCCGAATGTCAGCCAAGACAAGTCACCAAAGAGGGCAGCCAAAAGCAGCAAATTTACGAACGCAATGCGCACGAGGATAGACCGCAGGCTGGCTGGACTGAATAACCCTGCGGATGACTTGGGAGACCCGAGCCCTGGAACAGGGAACAAGGGAGACCGGGTAAACCCAAAGCACATTCCAGGCCACAGAGGCCATGGAGCGCAGGTAACAGCGAAGAACCGCAGCTGGACATCACACAGGATGCACCCCTGGCCTGAACAACGAAGCATCACCAAGCCAAGGGCATCTCCAGAAAGCCACCGACCCATTCTATGCCAGAAATGAAGGAGAAGGCTGCAACCGAACAAACCGACTACAAGGACCGAAAGAGCAGAAACCTCTGCACCAAAGGAGAGCATGAAGCTTCCAGACCCGATCCCCAGGACCAAAGCCAACAGGAAAAAAGAGCCTTGGAAAAACAAACCCAAACTAAAGGGGCCACCACAAACCTAGGAGAGAAGAGAAAAGAAAGCACCCGGTCCAAGGACCTGTACGGCTCAGGCAACACATGAGCAGGCTGGAGGTGAAACAAAGCACGAGGAAGCTTACAGAATGAGGTGGAAGGGACATCCACCCTGAATGCAAGCAGGAGCGGCTCCGCCAGTGCCACACGGGACAAAGCGACAGTATTTGCACCAAAGTAAGGTCCTGAAAAAGCCAAGAAAGAAAGAACAAGACAACCCGTCCAGAACCAGAAAACAACTTATGAAGACAGAGAGAAGAAGAGAGAGAAAATATGAGAGAGAAAAGAATGCCAGGAAACTTCATACTGTTACCGAGGTGAAACTTTCAGGTGGGACACCATCAACGAAGCCACTTGATCACCACACAAGTGGCGATAAGCCCATTCCAAAAAGACCAGATACGATAAGCGGAGGAGAAGATCGAACCAGCCAGGTACCTGACTGGACCAATCTGCTGATAGAGGGAGAGCTGTAGAAAACATCACGGGTTCAGAAACCAAGCAAGCAGTGCCTGAAACCAAGGCTGGGCCGACCACCAAGGAGCCAACAGGACTACTCTTCCCTGGGAAATCTCCAACTGAGCCAGAACCCAAAGCAACAGCTGGACCGGGAAGAAGAGGTACAGGTAACCCCACCTCGACCAGTCCCGCCGAAAAGAGTCCACCACAATGCTTTGTAGTCAGAGAAGGGTGCACCATATACAGGAAGACACCAAGACCACGCCTACGCAAAGAGGCCCATCTTCAGCAGAGCCAACTGAATGAGTCGGCATCAACCATCCAGTCTGTGGACACAGAAAGGAACCGAGACAGGCTGTCTGCCAGGACAATGGACACACCCTGGACGGGAACCGCATGGAGAGCTAAACCCTGAGAATCTGAAAGATGAGTCACTCAAAGCGACCAGCCCCAAAGAGCCAAGGACCGAAGAGAACCCCCGAGATTCAGACAGTGAACACCCGGAGAGCAGTTGGAATGGAGCTGGATCGTGGAACCCCAAGCGACCCAAACCCTCCGAAGCGATAACCAAACCTCTGCAAACACCTGCCCCATACTGTAGAGCCCGATGGAAGGACGGACCCCACCGCCACTTGCTGGCCTGGTGAGCACTGGTCACAAAGCCTCAGCTGAAAGATGAGGCATCAATGAACACATCGGGTGAGGACTCGGGAAGGCACCAAGGCACTGAACCCCGAAAAACCCGAAGAGGATTGGTTGATTGGAAATCTACATCCACCTGCAGACATTGCAACACAGAAGCTGGTAGTGACATACAAGGAGAAGTTGAAAGAACTCAGTTCTCTACCTGAACACTGGGTCTGTTCAATATCAGGGAACTGAACATGTACATAGTCCAGTCTAGCACTAACATTAGTATAGTCAACATGCACATACTAGGATACACAACAATATGTAGTACAGACGTAGGAGTTACGGAAATATGCAATGAAAAGACCTTAAATACGGTTCAAGCACCGGTAGCTAGGGACAAGAGAGTATAAGCAATAAGATGAACTAATAAGACCTATCTTGAGGTTATCTTGAGATGATTTCGGGGCTTTTTTTTAGTGTCCCCGTGGCCCGGTCCTCGACCAGGCCTCCACCCCCAGGAAGCAGCCCGTGACAGCTGACTAACACCCAGGTACCTATTTTACTGCTAGGTAACAAGGGCATAGGGTGAAAGAAACTGTGCCCATTGTTTCTCGCCGGCGCCCGGGATCAAACCCGGGACCACAGGGTCACAAGTCCAGTGTGCTGTCCGCTCGGCCAACCGGCTCCCGCTCGGCCGACCGGCTCCTAGGTAGCAATTGATAACTGAATGTACAAGATCAACTATATATACAGAGAGACTCCAGTGTACATATGTAAGAGTGCAGCCAGGCACTGAACAACGGTCAATGAATGAGTGTCCAGATAGCATTGAATGAGTCAATGAAGGAGCAGCCAGAGTCAAGAAAAGATTCAAATCATAAAGATTAAATCAAAAGTTACCAAAATTCGGGGCCGTGGCCCACAGTGAAAAGAAGCATATATACTTACAAACCAAAGTCACGTGAAGATGCACACAAGGATTGGCCAATACACAAATTGGTCAATCAAAACACTACAAACAATACCCAACACTCATCCAAAAATTGAGAACCAATAACTGGCTGACGGTGTCGCCAGACCGTATAATCTCTCCTGTAAAGAGTAGGCACTATAGTGTGACAACACGGCTTAGCCGTGTAATATTCTGGGAGCATCGCTAATCAATTATGTCTGGAGTTGCGTGTGCAGTAGGAGATTAGGTATCGTGTAGAGGTGGAGGTGGGGTCACACCGAGCCACCCCACACCCATGTGAAGAGAAAAGAACTGCGTGTTTACTCCATATATAAAACCCAGAACTACCCCAATATCTAGGGGGGCTATGACTGGACATGTAAGATGAGTGAGTGCAGCATATTACCCGTGATAAAGGTCACAGAACACCAACACATGTTTACACCGAACATAAACAAAACGATCACCCTCGGCCCATGCTCAGGACGCATGAGGTCCGAGCTGCACCACCCGTCTTTCGGGGAGGGTGCCTACAAAGTTTATTCAATGATCAGTATTGTCAAGACAGAGTGCGGAGAGAAGAAGTGATTATAAAATAATTAGATTTAGTATCGAAAGATGATGAGTAGTACAGACGAGGACCAATGATGCCACATCATTGATGCCACATCAAATTTGTACAAGGAGAGGGTATAAGAAAACCCCACTCCCTGCAGCAACAAGCCCCGCTCAGAGGGTACCAAAACCCAAGTGGGGTCAAACGGGACCCAAGGCTCCCAAATCAGCGCCCCTCCCCCATCCTGGGAACCTCTACATCAGGACCCGGGGCCGAACCGTCCTCCAAACCCTCTGCCTCAAAAGAAAAGGCAGAGGCCGCCGGAAAAGCTGGAACGAAGGGGGCCCACTGGTTAGACCCAGAAGCACCAGATGGAGGAATGAGCTCGAATACCTCCATCACCACTCCGGATGGGGCATCCCCTGAAACTGCCCGAGTCTCACCACCAAATAAACCCAGCCCTGACTCCAAAACCCTCAGACGCTTCGGAGCCGGAAGCAAGGAAGAGAGGAACAGGCTGAACAAAAGCAGAGAAAGGACAAGAGAGAGTGGACAGAACCAAAGTCGAGGCAACTAACACCCCCAAGTCCAGGTCCCTATAACCAAAAACTGGGCAGCCTTGGGGCATCTGGGTGAGCAACTAACCTAGCACGCTGCAGCACCCTGTATCGTACATGTAACATCGAAATTACCTGCACCCAAATATCAAGATCAGTGGATTGGGTGAAGCAGAATACATGCAAGGAACACCACTCGCAAGACTCCCGGTTGAAGATGTCGCCGACCCAACCGGCAGCATGACGCAGGCAGAACAGGTGATTGTCACCCTGAGACAAAGGAACAGAGCAACCCTCAAATTCGCACAGAGCGAGATGGGACCCGGGGGACGCATCCACCAGGCCACTGAGCCCCAGCGGGGATTTCCAGGGCCCTTAGACGCTCTGTTAAAGAAAGCCCAGGCTAACCGGAGCCCCAAACTACCAAACAAACTGCTAAAATGCTAAACCCCCTGGATGTGGGGACCTAGTGGAGGACCACCAACATATAAAGAGATATCTACACCAAGGGGAAGACCCTCCGCCAGGCAGGAAAAACAAAAACAAAAGAAAAACCCCGCAAGAGCACAACGACACAGGTGGAACAGAGCCGGCCGCTGTATTATGATGAAAACAAGCTGCACAGTACCTTGTGTCCCTAGCAGTAATGAAACTACCGCCTACCCAGAGGCAAACAGGGGTGCATGAAACACCCCAGCTGACTCCAAGAGCGGGCAATCACCGAGCAGCAAAAGACCCTATTGTAACATGGGGGGGAGGGGGGGGTTCTCGAACGATCTTTCCTGCCTTTTTTCTCCCTCTGCCCGTATTCTTACTTTTTTTCTCTACCAAGGGACCCCAAAACTTTCCCTTGAGCCGACCCCACGCCACGTGGTCTCAAGACGATTTACCGACTTGAGATTCTACAGCCCGTATGACGTGTACTAGGCTTCTAGCAAAACTCTAGGGTCGCTTTTCCGCCGCCACCACCAGACCAATAACACGGAACAATGATCGAGGCCTGGATCGATCATGCCCAATCAATAACTTTGGGGCTTGATCCCCACTAGTAACATATACCCTTGGATCTTAAGTGTGGAATTAATTACAAATCCGGGAATGATAATCCTGATTCGATGTTAGAATCGGCGCCCAATTCAACTCGGCCTCGTGGGGACCACGTGACAAGGACCAATTCACATAAATATAACACACACATGGAAAATAATGAAAATGAAAATTAATAACTAATTAATTTATTCAAAAACTAAAACAAAATCTAAGAAATGGTATTCTCTGACTTGAACACTCCCTGACTGGCAATGAACTGACTATCCCTATAATATAACCTCTGAGCAAACTTTTACCTTCTATAGACGACCAGCGGTGGACTGCTGGTCTGGAGGCCGAAGATGGAAAGGCCACCTGCCCGAGTTGTTTCTCAAACCACACTGATCTCTCCTCGTCTGGTCTTCCCCAGACTAGAGCATTGTATCCTTCTGCCTAGTCTAAGTTTTACCAAGTTACTAGCAAGGCTTAAGTTTAACAATTAACCTCTGTTGCACTGAATTGATCCAGATTGGTTGAAATATTTTAACTGAAGTTAAATTACACAAGCATCTTAAGGAAGAGCTATTCCCGATCCCAAAATGGCTATTTGACCTTTGAGAATTACTGAATGTGGAAACTGTTGACCTATGACCACCAGGTCACTCCGCGCTGCATTCTAGTCCTGGCTCGTGACGTCACTGATGGTGACTTAACTCAAGTCTCCTAATAATTAGAATACTCTTGATACTATAACCAGGAATATTATACAATACAATTTTAATACAAAATGAATGAAGGCTAATTTCTCTAAAATACTGAGTACTATAGAATGATTCATTATACGAAACTATGAACAAAGACGCCAGCCATTTTGTGACTCAGACTTGCTAATCCCTAGTGGAATGCGCAATGTTGAGGTCAGGTCCCTACACGAGACTTCTGGAACCTTCTGGATAATTCTTACAACAAACCTAGTTTGTTACACTATGGAGGCAGACCCCAAGTGACATGTGGAAGACAACTCCAAGCTACATGGGCAGTTCTTACAGGGCACCTAAGGAAGGTAACCCTAGGTGCATGCAGCCCGAGTACTGGTGAAATTACTCCAGGCTCACACACTACCAAAGACAGGACCACACTACCTTTCTGGGTGCCTGACCCAGTTGATGGTAGACACAGAATGCTTCCAACCACACAGGGGTTTCTATAGTCCATTGCTCCTTGTGCCTCTCTAAGGGGCCAGGTTCTGGCTCATGATCCCTGGTAGGCCTAGAACTCCATTCGCTTTGACTGATGCCAGGGTTTAATACATCCATAACAGCCCGGATACCTCCGGGAAGCAGAAGGGGCTTTCCCCAGAAATGACATTTGGATCATTGTTTAAGAAAACATTTATGTTGACAGTCATGTCATCAATCAACATACCTTATCTTGATAATAATAGTTAGAAATCGAGATGCTTTGTTCTGCAGATGGACTGTGACTAATGGCAGGATACATGTAGTTGTACTTTGGGGAGGTTGGCACTGTGCCAGATATCTGAGGCATAAAGTTAGTAATGTATGCACCAAGGGCAGACAGGGACCGTGGTGTTGCTGATTCAGTACGAGAAGATCCTTTCTTCATAAATGTTGGTCGTGCAAAACAAACCAAAATCCCTGTAGAAAAGAGATTTAACAAATTAGGCAGTTGCTCAACTTATAATTATCAGTGAATGTAACGATTATTACTGTAAAATTAAATACTCTGCCTATTTATTGATACATTTTTTGTTGCCTTGTAGAGTTCACCAAACTATAAAACCAATGTTGAACATAATGAAATGCCTTTTTTTTTTTTAAACGTAACTCACAGAAGGAATCTTTATGAGATTGCTCAAAAAGAGTCACATCAGTCAAGTAATTACTGTTTGGCCTACTGGGAAGAGCCAGAACCTAATTCACAGAAAGCGAAGCCTCAAAACTGTCAAACAACTTAACAAATGATACACACACAAGGGATTCACTCAAACTAGCTTCAAACTCATTATTACTAATTACTACCACCAAGCAGCCCAGCCCTCAGCCAATTCTTCACCTCAGGTCTGGAGCTTATGAACAACTTGACGACGAACTGATGAACCTGGGAGAAGGGATGGCAGAAATCAGTGAGCCACTGGAGCTCCTCCAGAAAGAGACATTTCATTACATTCAGTGCTGGATTTTTGGAGGGAGCCCCCCAGTGGCTTCCTGAAGCTAACCACAGAGAACAAAGACAGGATTTACCAGGAAAGAGGAGAGTCAACAGATACTAAAGTGAAGACGAGAAACTAGGCCGGGAGACAACGCCCAAAGCAACACACACAACCAACTGAGATCAAGGACACTGACGAAATATCAGACGACCAGAACCAAAATCTACCAACCTCAAACATCAGCCCAAAACATGTAAGAGAAGATGGAAGTCAAAGCCGCATACTGTATATGCGAACATCCAATGGCACTAGCATAAAACACAGACTGGTTAGACTTAATGGCACTGCTGATGACATGAAAAGTGTGAGCCTTGGAACAGGGAACTAAGTAAGTGGGACCACCACCAGAGAAAACTGAGCTATACTCTGACACGACTCAAAAACCCTCAGATACTTCGGAGCTGAAACCAAAGAGGAAAAACTAGAAGCGGGGTAAATACACCCCTCCAATGGAAGAAGAAAAAAAAGAAAGAGGTGCAGACTAAGTTCAGGTGGAGATTACCAACACCTTCAATTATGGATCCCTAAGCACCTTGGGGCCAACTCTGGGGGATCCAGTTGATCAATATGGTAAGCACCTAACACAGGCAAATTCAGCTTACAAAGTGGCAGCTGCCTGAAATGCCTCCTACTGGGAGGAGGAATCAATCAATGCAGAGACCCAGTGAAAACAAACGTCACAGAATTCAGGGTCATAAGTGTAATAGGCAGCATGGAGGGGACGGGGGGGGGGGGGGGCAAAGTTCCTGAAAGAATGATCATTGTTAGGTAGCAAAGACAATAAACACCCCTTACACTCGCATTCAGCAAGAGATATCTTTATGAACTGAGCCACACAGGCCAAAGCAGATACCCCTCAGGGGATTCCCAGGGCCTGGGGATAGTAACCAAGCAAACACTTCAGGTATTAGGGCCAATTGCCAAAAAACCAGAGTTGAATGTAATGAAACGCCATTTTCTGGGTGAGTTCCGGAGGCTCCCTGGAGCTATCCAGGCTGAATGGATATGTATAACTTTCTGGCATCAGTCAAAGTGCTAGGAGTTCTTGCCTACCGGGGACCACGAGCCAGAACCTGGCCCCCTCAGAGAGGCATGAGGAGCAATGGCCTATAGAAACCCCCTTGTGGTTGGAAGCATTCTATGTCTGCCATCAACCAGGATAGGCACCCAGAAAGGTAGGCACCCCAAAACAAACCCCTATTCTGGTAAAAATATTGCTACTGAAAGCCGAACGAGTGGACAGAACTCCCCAAACAAAATTATGTAACTAGCATGACGTCATCACGTCGCAGCGCCACCCCCCTCCCCAGGAGGGGGAAAGGGGAGCCCCAGACCCTCCACGCCGGCGATCCAACTGGCAGTTTTTAGGCTGGATGTCAAAATACGCAAAAAACGGCGCCGACTGGAGGGAGGGAGGGATGCCAGGTTGCCTCCGGGACTCGCCCAGAAAATGGCGTTTCATTACATTCAACGCTGGTTTTCTGGGGGGAGCCCGTCGGCTCCCCGGAGCTACCTCACCACAGATAAGGAAAACAGGGAAGGAACCGGGAGGCGGATGCCACGTGCCCTATCCTAAAAACCAAGACCACAGACAAAACAAAAACAAAAACGAGAAGAAAATAGACCACCCAGGCCAACTACCAGGATGGCACAAGAACTCAAGAGCAGGCCAGAGGGGAACAACGCCCAGGACAGCAAGTGGAATGGAGCAGAAGGAACCGCAACACTGAACGCAAGCATGAGCAGCTTCGCCAGCACCACCCAATACAAGGTGACAGGACACGAGCCCAGACGACGGACCCGGAACAACCCCGAAGGGAAGACAAGCCAACCCTATCAAAGACCGAAGGACCCTTCGTAGTGATAGGAAAACCAGAAAGACCGCCAGGAAAACCACACACCGCCCCCGAGACAAAACACGTAGGTGGGAGACCAATAAGGAACCCACCAGTGCCGACACAAACGACGAGAAACTAGCACCACGAACGAAAGCGCAAAACGCGAATAAAAAAACTGCGACCCCGCAACCCAAAGGAGCAAGATAACCAGCTCCAGCAGTAAAGAAAGACGCACGCGACCCAGAGGCATCCTAGAGGAGAATTACCCAGGACGTGACCCGCAGGAAAGCAAACACACCCGTTCCAGAAAAGGAACAAAGAAAAACCGGAGCCAGGACCGGAACCCAACAAACCCGGTTCCAAGAAAAGGCACCAGGAAGGCAGGAGTGGCAGACCAAAAGTCCACAACCCCCCACAGACAGCACAACACCGAAGCCTGCAGGAAGTCACCAGAAAAATTGCAGGAACTCGATACCAAAACGGAACACCGGAGAAGTCCAAAAGCAGGGAACTTAACAAGGACAGAGGCCCACCTGAGCACCAAACAACAGGACAGGCAAGAAGCACTGACCCAGATACACAAATAGGTGGAGCATGGGAGGAAAAACGGAAATAGGGAAGGAAAACCCCGAATACGGCCCAAGTAAGTAAGGCACACGACCAACCACAAAATGTGTAGAGGAGGGCGTACATACCCGATGGACCTCATGGACAGCAGGGTGCAGTCAAGCACCGAAGTTAGGCAAGGAATGAGTGTCCCGAGAGGGAAAAGACCCAGGTGTCGACAATGAAACCAAAAGCGCCGAAATGCGGGGCAGAGCCCCACAGGACAACAAAGAACAAAAGACAGGGACAAAAGTCACTGAAGACCAACGCAAAGTAACCAAACAACACACCACACCAAACGCCCCTTTTAGGAGCCATCGACTCAATCCCGCCAAGCGGGGAAGAGTAAACAAGGATGGAGTAGTGAACAAGGGTGGTGAAGTGAGCAGATTATCCCAATAAGATACTGGCTCCAAACGCATTAGCCTAACGAGAGAAGCAAAGCTCTACGGAGGACCAATTATGGAACTCAAACAGTTCCTAACATCCAGTTAATATGCCTGCCAACCGTTGGAGAACGGCGAGGTATTGCTCGAGCATAGAAGCAGCAGAGTAGCGAATAATAACTAGTCAACCTGCAAGTGTGGTCTAGAACAGACACTTGCGAGAAACCGTACCAACTCCCGGTGCGCTGAACTCGCACCATTGCCTGCCAAATATCACCCACATACCACTGTATACGCAACAAAATATACGTAGCCTCTTAGTGGTACTGTTTATTGTCACCAATCATCATGAAACAATTGGCATAAAAGGGATAAGAGTAGAATCAGGAAAGACCTGAGGAATGACTGGCACGGTAACAAGTTCGGTAATTTGCGGAACCAATTACCGCGTAACGTGGTGGTGGGGCCCCACGATTTGTGCAAACGCGGGTTGGACATGTATATGAGCGGGAATGGATGGGAAGAAATAGGAGCTGCCTTGTACGGGCCAATAGGCCCTCTGCAGTTCCTATTTTCTTATGTCCGTATGGTCATATGCACAAGGGGACACAGGAGGAAGCCGAGTACCCAAAGGAGCCACAGACACGAAAAAGAACCTGATCAATGTTAGAGGGGAAAGGAAGCGGAAAGCACTAAGAAGCTATGTGGTGGAGGCAGACTTCACCCACAGGAGCAAACGTAGAGAAGACAGAGCCCAGGAGGCCCAGGAAACTGCACAACTGTCAACTGACAGGAGAGGCAGGGCCCAAGAGCCAGAGCTCAACCCCCGCAAGCACAACTAGGCAAGCACCCCACCAAAATGTGAGAACCAGCCCTTGGCCAACAGAAGCGCCAGACATGACAACCTCACCTGCAGAGCAGACACACGACCGTGCCACAACACAGGCAAGCCAAGTAACATACCAGGAGAGCGCTAATGGTGTGCCCGAAAGCTAAGCATACTTGAGGCAGTAGGCATGGTATGTACCGTTACCTGAATAAAATTCGGAAGTCGAAGGAGAAATATGTCCAGAGGCGCGCGTCCCGCAGAAGACGGAGCAGTACAGATGGGGAGGAGGCAGCACCACGCCGAGCCATCCCACACCCGGAAACAGAGAAAGAACGAAGTGACACCCCCAGATATAAATCCAGAACACCCTCAGCATCCAGAGGGCTATGACCGGAGGGAGAAAACAAGCAAGAAGCCGTAGAAAAACCACGAGAAACGAACGAATACACGAGCATACCGCCCATAAACAAAACGCACACCGTGGCCCCAGCACATGAGGTACAAACGCACCATCTGTCCACCGGAGGGCGTGGCTCGTACACCAGGTGGACACACATATCGTACACACAATGTACAAACACAATGTAAACACACATCGTCGTGCAGACGACACCACCGCCCTCACCAAAATGGCGGCTCCAAACCTTCTCTTGCTGTTTATGCCCCTCTATACACACGTTACATATAAGTATCTACATTTGTGTTCACCATAGCGAACCACTAAGCTGGTATGCTGAGTGCAGTCAATAATAGGTGGCCACACACAGTCAAAAGACATCGCCACCACCCTCCCTCCCACAGCATTACTCCTCCCTCCATAGCGCACAGCGCTAAATATCACCACAATCCTGCTATTATCAAAACCCTGGTCAGATTTATCACAGTCAAGGGTCTTCTGTAATAATATCATCACTACATAATAGCATGAACAAGTATATTATGGCATTTTTAGGCGATGCTGTGGTCACAAGCTGAACAGCAGTGCTGTGAGCTCATGCTGCATGCATCAGGCTTGGTAGCTCACTCAATACTGAGGCCCGTAACACCCGGGAATTTGGCCCACAATTTTTTTTTAAATGGCGTCTGTTTACAAGAGCCTTGATGAAGGTGTGGTGAATCCCGTGTATCCACAGGCCGTTTAAATCTTGCGTAGTACTCCAAAGCATCATATGATGTGATGCGCAATTTTCTGCAAGTTGGTCAAAGCATCATATGATGCGATGCGCAATTTAAGGGTTAAGCACTGTTTATTCATTATAAGTATTGTATATTATATGGCTTGTGTTATTGCAGGATGTAACTGTACTGTAATTATTTGATCAATAAATCCACATGTCTGGCAATGCTTCTCCTTTACCTCACTGTTATTGTTTTTATTACACAACAGTATTTACACACATTATGTATGTGTGTATTTACATACACTATTTACACACATCTACATGTTTTATTCACCATAACTATACAACTAAGCTGGTATTGTGTTCAAACAGCACAGTGGCCATCATACACTTCATGACAAGTCACACAGCAGATGACGACACTACGAGAACGACGCCACCTCCCTCACTATAATAGCTCCTCCCAACATACTCCAGTTGCTGTTATTACACTATAAACACACATTATGTATACCCATGTACATTTGTGTTCACCATAGCAAACTACTAAGCTAGTATGGTGAGCAAAACAAGAGTGGCTGCCACACACAGTGACGCTACCACGATTCCCACCCTCGCCAAAATTCCTCCTCCCACAATACTACGCACAGCGCTAATTCTCACCACAATCATGCTATTATCACAATCCTGGTCACTAATTCCTGTAAATGAATAAGCTGAACAGCAGTACTGTGAGCTCATGTTGCGTGCACCAGCCATGGTTGCTCACTCAGTACTGGGGCTCTCACACCCGGGAATGTTGCCCACGATTTTTTTTAAATGGTGTCTGTTTACAAGAGCCCTGAGGAAGCTGATATGTTCCCCATGTAGCCATGGGAGTTTTGAATCATACGCTATACCTATAAGATTCCTGAGGCCCGTTGCCCACCACCCGTTTAGCGCCTAAAGACGCAGTGCAGTGGTTAAGGGGGGCCAGATTCTGGCTCGAGGTCCCTGATAGGCATAGAATTCCAATTGAATTGACCGATGCCACGGCCTAATACATACATATCAGCTCAGTAAGCTCCGGGGAGCCAGAGGGGCTCTCCACAAAAAAAAAATACTAATGCTTAAACAGGCAATTTCTTTAAGCATTCTCCCATTCACTTACTATGATCATTCATAGTCACGTGCATCAAGCAAGCAATAACAATTTTGAAAATTTGTGTCGACAGAATTAGCCTGACATGCTCAACTTTACTGCCTACCTGCACTGGAGAATCTAGCACCCGATGTCCGTGGGAAAGGAACTCTGTGATCCTGATAGCTTCCATAAACTTGACCAGGGTATCCACTGCCTAACTGTGGGTCAACAGAGTTCATTCTATCATCCCCCTGTAAGTATAACATTTGACATTAAATATCATTATGATTACCTGTGATTTTAGGTATTCTAAATATCTTATAAAAAGAACTTTCATTAATAATCCAGCTACACAACATTTTTGGTTTTATTATATTTAGAATATGTATAAAAACTCCCTTTTAATTCAACTGCTGGTGGTCATCTAGGAGTGAGTTTGCTTGGGCGTGGTAGAAACAACTTCATCCCTCATATGTATTTCCTTCTCGTTTCCAGTTCCAAAACGGGACTGTGCGGATCTGTGGTTCATTCTGGACTTGAGCCATCTGAACTGTTGGATTCCTTGCACCTCCTTTCAGATGTCTACTTTGTCCCAGGTTCGGCTTCTTCTCAAGCTGGGAGCTTGGATGATATTCCTGGACCTGAAAGATGCATATTGACACATTCCTATTCATCCGTTGTTTAGGGATTGGTTAGGTTTCGTGGACGGGCATCAGGCTTACTGTTTTCTTTGCCTTCCGTTCGGTTTGAATCTGGCACTTCGCGTGTTCACACGGTTAACCCGGGTCAACGTGGCCTGTCTTTGTCTGCTAGGGGTCCGGGTCCTGGCTTACCTCGACGACTAGTTGGTTTGGGCTCCCAGCCGGTCTGCATGTCTGATCGCCACGGACATGGTTCTTTCCCAGCTTGCTGGGTTTAGTTTCCTGGTGAATTGGAGGAAGTCCCCTCTAGTTCCACCTTGGGTTCAGTCTTTGGCTGGGCCTCATGTGGGATTCTCAGACTGCTTCAATTTCTCTTCTTCCTGTGGCTTTGCTTTGGCTGCAGTGTCGTCGTCTGCTGTTTTTGAGGGGGACCCGCCGGGTTACTCAGCAGTTGCTCGAGCAGCTGTGCGGGAGCCTGAACTTTGCCTTGCTGATTTTTCCACTGGGCAGGGTCTGATTTCAGAGGCTGTTCTGGTACCTTTAGGGCAGCCCCTTTTGCCGCTTTTGCTATCGTTGGGTTTAACCTCCGGGGTCCTTGTGTCTATTACAGCACTTCCGGCTTCCTCTTCGGGTTTTTCGGGGTCCAGTGCCTTGGCACCTTCCCCTTCCCTCCCTCGATGTGTTCATGGATGCCTCTTCACTTGGCTGTGGTTTTGTGACCAGTGCTCACCAGGCTGGTGATGGGTGTTGGGATCTGTCCTTCCGTTGGGCTCACAGCACGGTGCAGGAGTTTGCAGCTGTGTGGCAGGCATTGCAACGGATTCGGCTACCTCGGGGCTCGGCATTTCGGTTCCATTCGGACTGCTCTCCTGTGGTTCATTGTCTCAACCGGAAAGGGTCTCTGCGGTCCGTGGCTCTTTGGGACTGGTCGCTTTGGGTAGCTCTTCTGCCGAGTTCTCAGGGTTTAGCTCTCCGCACTGTTCATGTCCTAATGGATGGCCAGTCTCACTTCATTCCTCTTTCTACGAGGTGGATGGTTGACGCTGCCTCCTTTCTGTGGCTTTGTTGGACGTTTGGGCATCCGGAGGTGGACCTCTTCATGTCGGCTTGGTCCAGGTGCCTTCCCATATACATGGCGCCATTCCCTAACTGCGAGGCTTTTGCTGTGGACGCTTTCCAGCAGGACTGGTCAAGATTGGGGTTCCTGTACCTTCATTCCCCGGTCCAGCTGTTGCTTTGGGTTGTGGCATGGCTCAAATGTTATCGGAGAAGAGAGTTGTTATCCTGGTGGCCGGAGAGTTGTTCATCCTTGGTTTCAGACGCTGCTTGCATGGTGTCCGAACCCGAGGGTTTTTCCGAGGCTCTGCCTCTTTCAGCAGGTCGGGCCAGTGAGGTACCTCGCTGGTTTGACTTACTCTTCGACACTTCACATCTGTTTTTTTTTCTCGGCTGTATCACCATTTGTATGGTGATCAGGTGGATTCGTTGATGTTGTCCCGCCTGTGCCTCTCAGCGACAGTATGAAGTCTCCTGCTGGTCTTTCCGCCACTTCCTTTCCCTTTGTAGGCTTTTGTCTGTGCAGGTTCCAGTTGTTCTGTCTTTTCTTTCTTGGCTCTTTCAGGATCGGCATCTTATGCCAAATACTGTCATTTCTTATTGTGTAGCGTTGGTGGAGCCGCTACAGCTTGCATTCAGGTTAGATGTCACTACCGCTGGGGGTCGTTTTGTTCATTTGCAGCCTTCTCCTTTTTTGGCGAAGAATGAGATGGCTGGTTTCCGGAGGGGTCCTAGGGTTGTTGACTCTTGGTTGGTTAGGCCAGGGATGCATCATGTTTTGTGTCCGGTTGTGGCTTTATGTCGTTACCTGTGCACTACTGGTTCAGCGACAGTTGACGCGCTTTGAGTGGATCCGGTTTCCCTAGTTCCCTGTTCCAGGGCTCATGTCTCTCAAGTTGTCCGCAGGGTTATCAAGTCTAACCAGCCTGCAGTCTTCACTCGTGCCCATGATATGAAAAAGTATGCAGCTCTGGCTGGAGACTTTGGTAATATGTCTTGAGTCAATATTCGGGGGCAGAGGTTTTGGAAATCAAACAGGGTCCTAGCCACCAGATATCTTGTTAACATCCCGGGCCCTCTGCGGCCTTGTGTTGCCTTGGGATGTACGTGGTGGCCAGTTGTCTTATCTTCATTGTGAGACATGCAGTGCTACCACCTCCTTGGTAAGTCCCTGATTTTACTTATCTGTGGGTAGATAGCTTCAGGGAGCTGACAGTTGACAGAGGCTTCCCTCAGAAAACCAGCATGAATGTAATGGAACGCCATTTTCTGAATGCGCCCTGGAGGCTCCCTGACACCCTCCCTCCCTCCAGTCGACAGTTTTTCATCATTCTCCGAACTGGGGGGGTTGTGCAGCTTGCTCACCTGAACCTTACTCCCTTCCCCCGTTGGGAAAGGGTAAGGCAAAAACAAGCGGACGTACTAGTTGGATGAAGTGTTTCTTGTTTCATTGTTTTCTACTGGGGGGGAGGAGTTCTTTGGTTCTATTTGGACATACTGTAGTTGCAATTTTCACCAGTTAGAGGTTTGTATTGGTTCACCTGCTTTTGCGGGTACTTTTCCCAGTCGATGGCAGACATGACAAACTTTACATGTAGAGAGTTCATATAACTATTGCTCCCTGTGCCTCTCTGAGAGAAGCCAGGTTATGGCACGTGGACCTCGGTAGGCACTCAAACTCCTAGGACTGATGGCACCAACCTAATATGACACACGTCAGTTTGATAGCTTCAGGGAGCCTCCGGGGCTCTCCCAGAAACGGCATTTCATTATATTCAATGCTGGATTTTTTAAGACAGAAATAAACCTTCATAAATTAAATACCTTTTTTTGAGTCCTGTTTTAAATGCCATAACTTCGTTTTTTCCCCTAACAGGGTGAAAAATGTATGATTCTGTCCGGATACATGTGGTTGAATAAGTTCTATAAGAACTATTGTAGGGATTGTTGGGCAGACTCTATATTTCTATTTCTCTTTAGTAAAAATGGGTGTCAATACTCATACCCTTTATGAGTAGCAACAAGCTCGTGTCCATACACGCCTTAAAAAGCCATGCCCTTAAAAAGCCAAGTGTGAGTGGGCATGAAGATCCTCTGCCATGAGTGCCGCTGACAACAAAGGCACATGGGCATAGAGCTAAAACAAGTCCATATCCTGGAAAAGAGCAGGAGCAAACAGGCAGTCAATGAATGGCTCACACAAAGGGCCACATAAAAACACCTGAAACACAGTTGAAACCTCATGCTACTCGAGCATGTGCGAATGGCAAAAACCACACAAAGTCCCTAAGGAGAAGAGAGGATTGTTCACTAGTCAGGAAGACTCTGGTGCATCCCATATGGAGAAGACCCAAACTCTAAAGCAGCAGGGTCCATCATGGAGAACTCCAGGTTTTGCAAGAGATACTTAAAAAAAAGATCCATCCAAGTCACCAACGGAGTGACTTGAGAAGATGAAACCTCCAGAAGGATGGTCCTGGTAGGCCTAATGGCATGTGAAAATTAATCCTGGGAGCTGCACTCAAATCAAACTCATACAGGAAGTGATGATACAAGAACTCCTTCCCTGCAACAACAGGCCCTCATCAGAAGGGACAAAGAACAATTTGGAGTCAAAGGGAATCCAAAGGCCCACATCAAACTCTAAAGCCCAAAAGCCAAATTTGTAGGCTCTTTAGGCCCTATGACCACTTTACATTTAAAGTATGTCATAACTGCCATCAACCGGAGAAGGACCAAGAAAGGTAGGCAAATCAAAACAGACCACTGTCTGGTTACACTCTGCAAGCTACGTTCCAAAAAGAGCAAAATATCTCCCCCATAAAGAAAAAAAACAAGCAAAATGTCATCCAACTAGCCCCTACCATTAGCGTCATCCAACTAGCCCCCACCATTAGTGCTAAGGGAGCTACCCCGGGTGAGCTGGCAGCCCACCACCCCAGTTCTTGAATGATGAAAGCCACCGACCGAAGGGAGGAAGGGGTGTCAGGGAGCCTCAGGGGCTCATCCAGAACCAGGAGTTTCATGACATTCAATGCTAGTTTTCTGGAGGGGGAACCCAGTCCACTCCCTGAAGCTAACTACCCACAGGAGAAGACATATCAGGAAGGCGGCACCCCACAGGTCTCAAACTGAGGAAGAGACAGACGGCCACAAAGAAACCGGGATATTCACGAGATACCTGGCGGCCAGGACCCTGTTCGACCTCCAAAACCCCTGCGCCCAAATATCGACCCAAGACATATTCCCCAAAACAGCCAAAAGAGCGGTATACTTTCGTACATCATGGGCACAAGGGTAGACCGCAGGCTTGCTAGAGTTAATGACACTGTGGACAACCTGAAAAAGACAAGCCCTGGAACAGGGATTCAGGGAAACTGGATCAATCCAAAGAGCATCTATTGACACAGAGCCAATGGCCTCCAGGTAGTGATGTAAAGCAGCTACCAGACACAGAACGTGATGCACCCCTGGACTAATCAACCAAGCATCCACCATTAAAGGACCCCTCCAGAAGCCCATCATCTCATTCTTCGCCAGAAAAGAAGGAGACA